CCGCTCGCGTCCGGTGTAGACACGGTGTTGAATGTCGTTGGTGAGGAGGAAAGCCTATGTGTGTCCTATGCCTTAGCGGACAGCATGAAACCCACAACAAATAAATAAATAACAGAGAGAGAATAATAAGAAGTTATTCTCTCTATGCTATTTTTTTTATGTTTCAAGTGATGCAGGTGTTATTTCCCTGTAGGGTTTTTATTAAAAAAAAAAGCATAAATTTTTCATAATGTTTAATGAAATTATTTGGTAGTCTGAGGGGGGCGCGACCAAAAAAGTTTGAGAACCAATGGTCTAAAGTTACCAGACAGTGTTTAGTGCAGTCCACATGTTTACATATGTTTATTACAGTGACTGTGAATAACCTAAAGTAGTGTGGTAAAGCAACAGATTTGTTTTTATATTTCTGCAATCTACTTTAGTTTGTGTGATTTGTTACTGACTTTCATATTAATGTTTACACCAGGCTTATTTGTCAGTGCTTTATGTTGTCATAATTATTACACGATTACAAGGTTGGAAGTTCAACAAATCAGTCAATATACTGTGATTGTAGTTGTTAAAAATGTCATTCATATCAATTCATGCATCACCTAATTTCATCGTAACATATAGGCCTGGCCTACAGAAAAGAACATTTAGGTTTAATCTATCTAATAGTGTGTTGGTCATACTATACAATGATTTATAGCTTGTCTTTGTTGAATAATACAGAACATAAAGCGCTTTAAAAAATAATTGCATATTAAATCGCAATATTGGTAAAACAAATCGCAATTAGATTATTTTCCAAAATCGTTCAGCCCTAATCCATATTGTATTTGTCTAGTAGTTGTGTTCTGAGAGCATCAGAGTGAATCTCTGAAGTGATGTAATGTTATGTAAATGATGTGCATAGCTCATCGTGATTGGTTGTGCTGTACCTGGTAGGCGTGGTCTGTGTGCACTAGGTAGAGCGCGCTGGGAGCGGAGCGGCTGAGAGGGGTGGTGGTGCTGTTCTCGTTCTTTGCTCCGTTAGTGCCATCCGGCTGTCTCTGGTCCAAACCCAACGGGGGGGATAACACAGACGGGGACACAGGAGACAGACTGCTCAAACCGTCCGCCACAGAGTCGGTGTTCAGCTTGATCTCAGTGTAGTAGAAATCCTCCTCTCCATCACTGCACTCTGAGTCACAGTTCCTCCTGAAGAGAGACAAACCAAAGAAACATTTTAATATTGACACTGTGATTTGCTTTCATTTAATGTGCACAACTATTATAACTTATTTACAGTTCTGCACTATACAGTACGACAATAATAATACAGCACTATACTTTACTGTCATTGTAACCTGGGTTAAAATGTGTAAATTTCATAAGGTGCAATTAAGGTAATTAATGTGTAGGTTGTGTTTAGTGCAATTCACAGCTGTCCATACATATTAATCATGACTCCTTTAAAATAATTTGGGTTTATAAGTGTGGTTGCAATGCACTGCTAAAAAACGTGGTGTTGACAAGCAAGTTTTCTATCTGTTCATTTATTGAGTTAGGAATAGTTAATCCCTCCCTACAGAAAGGAATCGTGACCGCGATTGGCTGTTATGAGGGAGGGCGGGGATGGAAAAAGGACGGCGAGAGAGAAGAAAAAGATATGCAGTAATCCAGATCGGATTGATTTGCTTTATTGTTGGTTTACTAACAAATCGTTAGTAAAGGAATTTAAACCTACTGCTTGTGATTAGTTTAGGAAGGACCATATTTTTGTTTGAGTTTCTTGCCAAAAAACAGATCGGAATACGTCTATTTTACCGCGATTGCTGTGACGAACAAGCAAAACTATCGAGGCTAATCCAACTCAGGAAGACTTCTTTTGCTATCGATGTGGAGAAGATGGACACATCGCAACAAAGTGCAAAGCCCCTGAAAATTCCACAAAAGTGATCCAAAAGCTGGTCCGTTCACTAAGAAAAGTTAAGAGTGAAAGAAGTGAAACACTAAGTGACATTAATAAGGTAGGGAAACCTGAGTTTTTTTCAAAGAAAAGTCAGATCGATGTCCTGGAAACAGCTTGTCTCCCCAAAGGACTGGTGGGACCTACCTCCACTGTGTCCCTGAAACTTAATGGACATCCCTGTAGAGCTCTCTTGGATAGTGGATCCCAAGTCACCATTGTGTTTGACTCTTGGTATTCTAAATACTTGCCTTCTCCCTCTGGTCCGAGGGCCAGTTCTCCTGAAGCTATCATTCGCGCTGTAGGGGATTTGTTAGAGAAGACAGGCAAACATCCCAGTGATAATGTCTATAGGCGATTGCGCACTTATTCTGGCACTGTTCCCACACCTCAAGGAGAAGAAACGTTAGATGGCTGGGTTGATCAAGCCCGAATGATGATTGCTGAGTGTGAGTGCTCCGAAAAAGAGAAGAGGAGAAGGGTTGTAGAGAGCCTAAAAGGACCTGCATTAGAGATCATCAAGGCAGTACGATTCTCTAACCCTGAGGCTAGTGCTATTGTGTGTTCATCCTAAAGAGCTCTAGAAAGGAAACATCTGAGAGTAGGGTGTTACATCATATTTTACAGTCATACAAAGGTAAATCACAGTATTTCAACCCGATACTGAGAAAAATGACTTTTTAAATAAATTGACAGATTTTTATATTTTAATCATTTTAATTTTTATATTTTAAGAATTAATAATTTAATAAAATTTTATAAACCGCCAAACCTGCTATAGTCTGAGACTGATTTCATAACTACCATAGTAAGATTTTGTACAATATTATACTTCACATACCAGAATTGGACATATCATACTTGATATGTACTTGATATGTTGAATGTTTTAACGGTTACTTAATGCATAACTGTTAGTTTCTCATGTCCTTCTACTGAACCATATTTCTGAAAGATGAGATCTTCTTAGAAATCCTCCCGGTATCTTCCAGCAGTACTGACACTTGCACGGGTTTAATTAGACTTCAGCTGAGAGAAACACAAACCTTCCTTCACAATTGTCTGGCTTTCACTGTCATTACTTTGTGCCCAGCAGTAATCGTGGAAGCGTGGTGATAATCCTGCTGGAATTAGTCTCATGTTTTGACATTGAATCAGGAGCAGGCTGCAGTCTCTTATCTCTCACTATAGGCTATCCAGAGTTCACTGTGATGGATGTCAGCCAAAAGATGGTGTAACACCATAAAAATGTGAATGGGTTTCTGTCTGATGAGAAACCTTTTTTTTTAGTAATGAATGTGAATGTTAAAGAAATCTTAAGTCTTTTTTTGTATGCACATTTTTGTATTGGGTTTATTTTGAGGTGCAAGCATTACTATTAAAATATCTGTGTGGATACACAGGGAAGTGCACTGAACATGACAAATCTGCCATAATTTAACAATTTTCCCACACTTTATGGATTTAATTTTATATAGTGTGTGTGTGTGTGTGTGTGTGTATGTGTGTGTGTGTGTGTGTGTATATATATATATATATATATATATATATATATATATATATATATATATATATACACACACCCACACACACACATACACACACACACACACACACACACTATATAAAATTAAATCCATAAAGTGTGGGAAAATTGTTAAATTATGGCAGATTTGTCATGTTCAGTGCACTTCCCTGTGTATCCACACAGATATTTTAATAGTAATGCAAAACTTTTCTATTATATTTTAAAATGTAACTTATTCCTGTGATGCAAAGTTGAATTTTCAGCTTCATTACTCCATATTTCAGTGTCACATGATTCTTCAGAAATCATTCTAATATGCTGATTTGCTGCTCAAGAAACATTTTGTATTATTGAAAACAGTTGTGCTGCTAAATAATTTTGTGGAAACCACAATATTTTGTTTTTCAGAATTCTTTGATGAATTGATAGATCATCAGAAAAGCATTTATTTAATATTATAAATGTCTTTAGTACTTTTGATCAATTTAATCCATCTTTGCTGAAAAAATACTGACCCAAACATTTGAATGGTACTGTAACACAAACCCCTCTCATCAACCGTCTGTATTAGCATTAATACACAAGGCAAAAAAATGGTTAAAATGAATTGTATTGTTAGTGAATAAGAGATTTTTTTGTTTTTTTGTGATACAACAGGTGCCTTACCCCAGGTGGACGGTTCGAATGTGCCTTTGGATTCCAGCAGCTGTGCTCAAGACCTTCCCACAGTTCTTCCACAGACACTTGAACATCACCTTCATGGAGTTCTGTCAGGGACACAGGTGCACAGTGAGTACACTAATCCACATCAATCAGCAGACCTCTTGTCCCCAGCATTCAGTCGCTCACAAAGGACTGTCACGGGGGATGCAAGGGGTGCGAGCGGAGCCCAGAGCCTCAGAAGGACTCCCACCTTAGACGTCTCTCTTGCTTTATTCTGAGGCTGGTAATTGGTCTGCATTGAGAGTGACACTATAGCACAGTCTTTCAAAGCTCATGTCATCTTTCACACAGTGTGTCTGCACTAATTACACAATTGTCATTTGAGAGCTGCAGCTCCCGTGTCAAAACTACACTCGGGTTGAAAGCACAAGTGAGCATAAGTGAAGATGAAAGTCTTAATACTTCGATCTCTCGACATATGCGGTTATGCCAGTGGCATGTGGTACGTTTGTTTACCATTGTTATGACGCTAATTTAATTTTCACTAGATAGCCATTGTGTTGGTCTGGCAAACAAAGCAGCTCCTTCCCGCTTAATCGGTTCGTCATGTCCCTGGATGACAACAGCGCCACAATTCCCAGTGCTATAAACCAGCTACTAATTAATAACAGTTCAAACTGGCTGGTGTCCTCATGTTGAAGTTAATTCTCTAGAAGGCAGCTGAAGGTCAAAGCAGAAAGCTTTGCCATTTTTCTTTTTTTAGGAAAGGCCCTTTAGAAGACGCTGCCAGGAAAGACACTGAGATATGACTGATTGATGGGTTGGGAGGCAGCTAATGGTTCCACAGCAATTCCTAGAAATTATTCTAAAAGGAACGGCACTTATTCATCAATAGCGTTATTAATTATATATATGCGATTATACCGGTAGAGATTTTGGGCTTTTGTCTCTATCACGGTTACATACGTGATGTTGCTGTGCTACATGGTAACGAAGAGCGTATCGTTTGCATGTGTTTTTAAGCGTTTCGGTTTAAAAACTGAGTGATTTTAAGCCATTGAAATGCAATCAGCAGTGAAAGTGAGTTTCGCTATATGTGCATGCTGTCTGAGAGACACGCGCATGTGAAGACTGTGCTCATAGAGCGTGGGAGTATTGAACGGAGTTATTTTTGCTGCTTTATAGGCCTTGATCGGTTAAATACCGATAGTACCGGTCTAGTTTAAACTGAAAGGACCGAAACGACCGTTTTCTCATGCTGAATGATAAGCAGATGAAATATCATGCAGAAAGTTCCTAGTCTGTTTTATTTTAGGTTCATCATCAGGCTATCTATCCAATTTGTTCTCCTTTTAAGATTGCTATTTTATACTTTATTATACAATAAGGTATATAATACATAAATAAATGTTAGTTATGTTGCTTCCATTGTCCTCATTTTTAAGTTGCTTTGGATAAAAGCGTCTGCTAAATGACAATGTAATACACACTTGTATGTTTCAAAATGTCCATCTTTGCAAGTATCCTCATAAGCACAGTAATTTAGGTCTTAAGTGAAATCAAACAGCTGAGAAAGAAAACATGTAAGTGCATTGGATCCGGGCAGCTCTTAAAGTGACAGCAGTCTAATATTCCTGCTGTCTGTCATTCAAGTTAATCAAAAAACAAAAGAGAAAATCTCTCACTGCTCTTGACTAAATCACTTTTGTAACTTTAATAATAAGAAATGTATATTTAATTTACACAGTGAAGAATGTGCAGTGTTTTTATACATTTGATTACTTTTATAGCCTACAATGTATGTAGCATTTCTTATTTAACTGTTCTACTGTAGTTTTTTTTTTTTTTGTCCTATTGCTTGTAATTTTTCTTATTTAATTGCTGACTGTTTACTTGTCTTCAGTGAGCTTGAGTTTTTGTTTGTTTGTTTTTAATTTAGGCTAGTATTAGTTTTTTGTGATTATTGACACTGGTGACAATTATGAAATTTCTATTGTATCAAAAAATTTGGATAACATAAAGGCCTTATTTAAAGCAAACAATGTATGTAGCATTTCTTATTTAACTGTTCTACTGTAGTTTTTTTTTTTTGTCCTATTGCTTGTAATTTTTCTTATTTAATTGCTGACTGTTTACTTGTCTTCAGTGAGCTTGAGTTTTTGTTTGTTTGTTTTTAATTTAGGCTAGTATTAGTTTTTTGTGATTATTGACACTGGTGACAATTATGAAATTTCTATTGTATCAAAAAATTTGGATATCATAAAGGCCTTATTTAAAGCAAAAATAATAATTGTAATATATAATTACTGTGAAATAAAATTACTCGTATTGTGATATAAATATAATTTTGGTCATATCGCCCTTCCCCATTTACCATGGTGGTAACCATGATTTTCTTGGAAGTACTTTTGGAGTACCATCTAAACACCATGAAGTACCACACTATAACAAATAACGAAGAATAGCATGATATTACCACCACTGTACCATACTACAGTCAAAGTAATTTTTGTTTAAGGATGTAAGTACTATGGTGCATAGGTAATGGTAACACCATGACTTTGTAGTTAATACCACAGAACCATCATGCTATTTTTGAAGTACCTTGGAGTGACTATGTACATATCAACATATTGATAACAACATTGTTCAGTACTACCAAAAAAAAACAGTTTCACCATCTGATAACATAACCATTATTGCACCATGGTACCATCACAATATGTTTCGTAAGAGCTTTAAATTTGATTACATATGTTTGTTTTTAATTTAGGCTAGTATTAGTTTTTTGTGATTATTGACACTGGTGACAATTATGAAATTTCTATTGTATCAAAAAATTTGGATAACATAAAGGCCTTATTTAAAGCAAAAATAATAATTGTAATATATAATTACTGTGAAATAAAATTACTCGTATTGTGATATAAATATAATTTTGGTCATATCGCCCTTCCCCATTTACCATGGTGGTAACCATGATTTTCTTGGAAGTACTTTTGGAGTACCATCTAAACACCATGAAGTACCACACTATAACAAATCACGAAGAATAGCATGATATTACCACCACTGTACCATACTACAGTCAAAGTAATTTTTGTTTAAGGATGTAAGTACTATGGTGCATAGGTAATGGTAACACCATGACTTTGTAGTTAATACCACAGAACCATCATGCTATTTTTGAAGTACCTTGGAGTGACTATGTACATATCAACATATTGATAACAACATTGTTCAGTACTACCAAAAAAAAACAGTTTCACCATCTGATAACATAACCATTATTGCACCATGGTACCATCACAATATGTTTCGTAAGAGCTTTAAATTTGATTACATATTTATATTTTCAAAATTGTAAATATTTGTAATGACAATGACAAGTTGCTTAATTATTTCTGTATAATATGTCCATGAAATGCATATTTTACATTTATAGTAGTGATAATGAAAACCGAACACTGGCACTGTTGTTGTCCTGGAATCCTAAACTGGAGAGACAATAACAGAGATAAAGGAGGTCTATTCATTCTCACAAATGAGAGAAGACTGACAGAATCTGGGATGCACCTGACGTGAGCCTGACGAACTGGATGATAAAGTAGATCGGTGCCTGTGAGCAGCCTACTGCATTGGTAACTTATCTTCGTAAAGACAAGTAAATTGCCTCTCTACACAGCATCATCATGTCTAGTAATGACATCTCCAAATGAGCAACATCCTAGAGAGGACAGTATGTTATTAAAAGTAAAGAAATATGTGCCCACGACTTCTCAATCTGTCTGCAAGGCTAATATAAGACCACATATAAATCACTTTTACACATCTTCCTCTAAATTCAGGAAATAGTCTTGTCACACACAGGAATAAAATACAAATTACAAGGGCTGTCAATCAATTAAAATAATCTAATCGTGATTTAGGTCTCAAAATGCATATTTCTTCTACTGCATTGAAACGCATGTAAAATGCACTGAACAAAGAGGTTTTTGCACTGGTTTGTGGCTGCAGTTCTTTGATTAGGGTCGGAAAGTCGTTGTATCATGTCTGTTAAATAAATAGCAATTGAAATGCATATTTCAAGTCCTGAAGATTCTCTATATAATTTATATTGTAAATAAATTGGAATTAATCAAATCACTTGAATCACATACATGAACTTTAGCACCCTTAAAAAATACATACATATACAATTCCCATAAATTTCAAGGGTTGAAAGGCATTACAGTCATGGTTGAACATTCTGTCATCAATTACTAACCCTCTGTCATTCCAAAGCTGTAAGACCTTTGTTCATCTTTGAAACACAAATTATGATATTTTTGATGAAATCCGAGAGATTTCTGATCCTGTATAGACAGCAACGCAACTGCCATGTTCAAAGCCCAGAAAGGTAGCAAGGACATCGATAAAATAGTCCATGTGACATCAGTGGTTCAACTGTAATTTTATGATTTTATGACCACCTTTCTGGGCCTTGAACGTGTCAGTTTCATTGCTGAGAGCTCTCTGATTTTATAAAAAAAATCTTAATTTGTGTTCCAAAGGTCTTACGGGTTTAGAACGACATGAGGGCAAGTAATTAATGACAGAATTTAAATTTTTGGGTGAACTATCCCTTTACCTCAACTGATGCTAGATTTTGCAGACACCCATAACTTGTTTAAAAATCCAATTCTGATTGGCCTGATTTGAACCAGCCAATCATTTTAAAATGAATATACTGAATATATCGAAATATATTGTCTTTATTCTAAAGGAGTACAACCCAATTTATACCACCAATGATATAAAAAAAAAACTATAATACTGTTACTTATTTTTTACAAAAATTCTATATTTGCGAAAGCTGTTTTTAGTGCCGATGCAAATCAACCCTCTAGTATTCAGCACTCAAATACAAGTCTTTGTCTCACTTTAAATTGCATTTAAATTCCACTTCAAGGATCACAAACCCTGCCAGAAACATGTGCGGCAGTGGATTTTTGTGCCGCTTGTTGCAAATCTATTATCCCCCTTTATCCATTATTCCTATAGTAACGTTTAACTAAGTTACGTCTGATGAAATCTCCATAAGTGAAGGTGAGATGACAGCAGCTCACCTTGCGTTTGCGGGGGATGGGTTCGTCGAACAGCAAGCTGTTCCCATCATGCTCATCGATGTTGTCGTCTGGTGGGCCGCTGAGGCTGGGCATCCGGAAGGGTTTGAAGCTGTCAGCGGACAGGGGAGGGGACGGCGTGGATGGGTTGGACTGGTCACTGGGCGCACTCCAACTCCAATATCCACTGCTGCTGTAGCTGGATGGAGTAAAGCCTCCGTCCTTCCATGAGCCGTTCAGACCCTCTTTATGGAGAGACACGGTGAAAGCATAAAGACGCATTAAGTGCAGTAATTACCATCATCCCGACATATATACTGCTTTATAATACACTAAACTTTCAATTAAGTGTAATGAGGAGTGAAAAGACATAAATGTCATGTTAGTTTATGAAACTCTCAGTGTGCAGCGGTGCTGTAACACACTGTAATAATAAAGTTAAAGTCCTAATTATATTACATGAAAGCCACAATTATAGTACTCCATAAAAGCCCTTCAAAAGTTATAACACATCCTCATCAAGGTCTTAAAGGGGCCACATGACATACAACATGATTGTACTTTTACTTGTTTCCCTTGGACTTTTGTTTCTTTGTGATTGTATTTTTAGCTTATTATGAGTCTTGAATCTTCCTCAAAATAATGATTTTTGATGTGAAAACATACTGTCATAAATATAGTCTTATAAGTTATAAATGTAGTCTTATAAACTTATAAATGTACCTATATGTCTTAAAGGTACAGTGTTAAAAAATGTGGGAGGTCAGATAGAGAATATGAATGGCCGTTAAAACTAAATTATGACTGTTTTTGGTGCAAGACGCCTTTACTAACATTTAAAAGTACTTCAGGGAATAAAATGCTACAAAAGTGTAGAATATGGCCCCTTTAAGTTATTAATAGATGACAGCTTTAAGAGAAGACAGCAAAAGTCAGTCTCATGACAGCTGAGCTAGTGCACTAACGTCTCATGTGACAGTTTTTCATGCACATGTGACAGTGAAAACAGGAAATAGCTGAGTGAAGAGCAAGCCGTTTCTGCAGCTCAAAGCAGACGGTATGAAGATTATTTCATGAGGGCTGAGATCGCGGTGTGGTTGTGATCTAAAATGACTTACCACTAACTTTTACAGGAGGGCTGCGTACCAGAGGACTAGTGGACAGGCTGGTCAACACCATGGCAGCTGTCACTTTGTCCATGTCCACCTCCTCCTCTGATTTTCTGTAAAAGCAAGAAACGGTACTTAAAATCACCATGGAATCAAAAATGAGAATTCTTATTCTTATAATCCGTCCCATCGAACTCCTGATGATCACGAGACCACTACAACTAGTAAATGTCAATGATCCAAACAACTGTCCTGATAGACAAAATTAAGTTCAGAATTTTTTTTCTCATTTGAGATGTTTCACTCATATATATATATATATATATATATATATATATATACATACATATCACAATAGGGAGAGATTTTTGCATTTTTTCAAAGATCTGACTACTTTGCAAGGGACTATTAGTCACATGACATGATTTACAGATCAGGTGATTGTTTTAAAACAACATGGCTGCATGTACAAAAAAAAGTTTATTTGAATATTTGGGTAGGAAATAGGCTAATCAGCTGTCTGTCTGCTAAGTTAGTGTCAAACTTTCACAATTTTGGAATCTACTATTATATATAATTAAAGGGGTCATATGATGCGATTTCAAGCTTTCCTTTCTCTTTGGAGTGTTACAAGCTGTTCGTGAATAGATAAGATTCCTAAAGTTGCAAAGACTAAAGTCTCAAACCCAAAGAGATATTCTTTATAAAAGTTAAGACTGGTCCACACCCTCCTAAAACGCCTCGTTTAAACACGCCCCCACGTCTACGTCACGATGTGGGAAGATTTGCATAACGCTGCCCAAATGTTCATGCAAAGAAAGAAGTCGTAACTTTTATTGTTGCTGCCACCGCCGCCACCATGTTGTGAAGACGCTGTGTGTTTCGTTGCGAATGCGAAAATACTTTTGTTTGGCTTTCCAAAAGAGGACACGACTAGAAATCAGTGGTTAAGTTGTATTTAAACACTGTTCCAGAACAGTTCAACCCAAATATTCAGATGTGTGCAGCACATTTTCTGGAGGACTGTTTCCTGATCCTGGGAGAGTAGACTACAATGCAGGCTGTTCTGACTCATAGACTGTAAGTACATTTCATATTTAAAGAATTTGCCACTGACGATTCAAACGCGAGTTTTGGGCACTGTAGAGTAGCACTTGTTGTTTGTCATTTCTCCGATCACAAATGCAGACATGGTTTGTTTACGTAGCGCGATGCAACGCAACATGTAAAAAGACAGTGTAAGTCATTATAATCCGTAATTATGTCCCCACTGGATGCAACTAATGCCTCATTTATAATGGGTTTTAATGTTTTTGTCTAGTCGCTCCGGCCGGACACGGCATCACAGTATGGTAAGGTGTGTAACATTTCCGTCACACGCTTGAGGTATTCGGCCAATCACAACACACTGGATCATATGACCCCTTTAAAAAGACATTTCTAATCACTCACTAAATAGAGGATTCATTAGAAGTTCTTTCAACCAATCAAATCCAATGACAACTGTTCATGCCACCAGGGCTCCTGAGATGAATGCAAATTCTAATGTTAACTCTCCTCTATTATAGACTTATTATAGACTTCCTTGATTCAGGCTATTACAAACATGTTGCTCTGAGCTTCCATTCCAGCTGCTGCGTTCATAGTTGTGGGATCTCCAAAGCTGCACCGCACAACGTTCCTATGATGGACAGAACAGGAACATCTGTCCTGACAGCTGACTCTCATCACTCACAGCTGAAGTGTACATGTCTCTTTGTGATAGCATGATGGTGTATGATGATATCTCAACGCGACCCGCTTCTGCAATGGGAACGGAGTGGCTGATTTTGCAGCATTTACAGTTTTGTAAACAACAAAAGAAGGCTGTGTGAAAGACACAGTGTTTTTATATAGCAAAGGACATCTGTAAAATCTCAAACGGGTATTTTGTGCCTGTGATTGAAGGATGGACGATGAATGCGCTGACGTGTGGAAGGAGTAATAAATCTTCTCACCTGTCAGCTCATTCTCTCCTGGGAGAACCTGAGCCGCCCTGCCAAAGGCGCAGCACGAAATCTCATAAGCGAGAGAGACGGAGAAAGCGAGAGACCTCTGGCTGACAGAGAAACCCGGGACCTCCATTAGAGATAGGCCTAATTTATGTTTCTCATGTGGCGAGAATGATGTCATTACGGCTTTCTGATAAATCACGGTAGGCTGCCATCCTCCTCCGATGCAGCTTTTCCCAAGACCCTACAATTATAGGTACTTCCTGGTCACCTTGGGAGAGCACGTTGGGCTTGATGGAGCTTTCCAGATAATGCCACGCTGGTGCTCCTGGACAGCGGCTAATTAAGAGCTTTAATATCTCTCATCCAATGGAATATTGTAAATTTCAAGAAACGCATTAGATCCTGTGTAATTAACATGTAATATATTGCCACTCTTGAACAAAAAGGATCTCTGAAGTCCCAAATCACATGAGTCATTAGTGTCCTTATCAAGCCACGGGAGTGAAGCTGGGTGCACATTTATGAGTGGTAATTAACGAGAAGGTAAGCGATACATACAGCTGCAAAACTCGAATTTGACAGGAGACAAAGTAATGAACTGTTCTACATACAGTACACTCTACATAAGGGTTGATTCATATAATGATTTCAGAAATAACATTTTTGACAAATGACAAAATAACAAATGCATTGTGGCTTGGGATGGGTTAGGATGATCAACCGGTCATCCATCAACTAATTACTAGATTAGTGACTGGGGACAGAGGACCCCTTAAGAGGCCACAAGGGGGTGCTTGGTGGTCCACCCAAAATTTGTCACACTTCACACTCTGGGAGCAAGGAACGAGGAAACGAGGAGTTCTTGAATATCACAATCTTTTAATAATCCACTCACAAGGGGAACGTAGGAGACACAGGAAAGACGTTCAGAACCGACAAACACTAACTGAATGGACTAGGGCTTTTAAACTCAGGATAATAAGGGAGGAACAAGACACACCTGGGATCAAATTAACAATCAACATGAGGAAGAAACTGGGTCACAGGGAGCAAAAATACAAACGGGTCCATAATCCTGACAAAATTTAGGAGAAAAAACATATTTTGTTTTATAAAAAGTCAAAATACTACTTTGATGTTTTAAATTATTTTAAATAATATTTGATTTTATTACTGTTAATTTTTCTTTCTAAAGATCATAATATTTTTCACAATGATTTTATTCCATTGACAGTGCAGGTATTAAAATAAAATAAAATATTACATGACAAATGTGGTTTCATTTTAAAGGTTAATACATGTATAATTAATAATTCGTAGAAAAACTGTCAACTCCATATATACTAATTTATTAACTAATAACAGCATTTATAATTATTAATATTTTAAATATATTATAATTATTAATAATTTTGACCTTAATATAAGACAATAAAAACAGTTAAGTAAAAAAAAAAGCCTTAGTACAGTGACTATAATAAAGCGGTTATTTATTTTTAGATAAATTTTGCAGCATGTCCTAGGTGAGCGCCCTTAAGAAATATGTCTGAACAGTCTGTGGTGGTCATGACCATTAACCAGCCTAATTACACAGGGCTTCTGACTAGTCGATTATGAAAAGATGTAATTTTGCACATCTCTAATCATGGCCTCTTCCCATCATCACTGGAATATCTCCAACTATGAAGCTGGAAAAACACATTATGGGAGTTGCTGTTCTCAAATAGAGAAGAACAGACAAACAGATGCTCTGCTGTAAACCAAGTCAGTGCTGCATCTCATTTGCTGTTGGCTCACCCTCATCTCCCATCTCGGTTGACGTCTTTGGTTTTCTCAATGGGAGCGGGACAATATAATCATAATCATGCTCTTTCTGCTCATTTACAATCAGGCAGGTATAAATGAATGACCATGTTACAGAAATGAGCTTGGGTATGAATTGCCCAGATCTAAGAGCCATTAATGCCTGGTAATTCTTCCTGTGGCCACCCTCATTTGCAGGAAGCCAAACGTCAATGGGTTTATTTGGTCATGGGGGTAAAATGGGTGAGATGGCCGCCAGCCAGAAGGGGGAAGCAGTTCACAGACATCTGTTGTGATTCAATGAACAGATGTGCCAACTTTTTGTAGCCATCCAATCTCGCAAGACAAATGAGAGAGCGGGTGGCTTGAGGAAGGCTATCCTACGTACCTTCAGACATCTGGACCTTTGTGTTTAATGAGTCCACCGAGGAGGCCTGCGCCCACATTGGCAGAAAACTGAAAAGATGTTTCCAGTTTCAAAAAGAACAGTGGTTTAGGGGGATATAATGGAAACTAATTGGATTAGAGTATTTTTCCAAACCCAATATCAGTTTAATGTGGGCTCATTCTGACCTTGCAACAGTGGCACAAAAACCGTTCAGGAAAAATAACAATCACTTTAACTTACCAAAACGATTGAAAACACATTGCATTCCATTCAGAATTCAGAGAGCATTTCAGCGTCAGTAAACACTAGCCGGGTTTCCATCCAAAGTTGCACATTTAACTTATGCGCAAAATTGGAATATCGTATAAAACATTTGTGAACAAGCACTATTTCCATCCAATGAGTTAGAGAGAACAAAATCGTCACTTCCTGATAAACTGGCACTATAGAAGCCACTGAATATAATCATTCTCAAATATAATAAATTACTTGCGCGTTGAGTGAGCAGACGAAACGCAATAAATGCGGTCTTGCTTTCGGAGGTGCATGTCAGCTGTTTGGGAACGCAGTCGTGGTAGACCGTTCTGGGAGGCGGTTATACAGAAATACTTTGACGACAGACTTTGCTCGGGCACTTCAGAATGACCATGACAACATTTCAGATGCTGTGCAACAAACTCGGTCCGCTGGTTAGTTAGGTTATGCTGTCCCATAGCGCAAAGTCACATGACTTTTTTTGAACGCTCATGTGGGATTTACTCGCAAAATGCGTTTACATCTCCCATTATTCGCATCAACCTTTTTCGCACAAGTCAAAAACCACCTCAAGCGAGCTTAAAAACTTTTTTGCGAATTAAGGGATTTATTTTCGAAATTTGGCGTTTCCATCACTCGTTTCTCATGCGATACTTCAAGATGCGCATTAAAA